ACAAAAAACAGGACACATCAGGTAAGAAAGGTGGGCTCCTGGGCTGCAATGGACGACCCTGGGACTAGAGACTGAGTGAGGAGTGTTAAGATAATCATTGACAATGAAGTGCCCCAGGGGAGATACTGAGCAGGTGGCTCCTGTTGGGAGCCTGGAAGTCTCCTGTCCCACCTTCCCTTGGCCCCGGGAGCCACCAGAGAGCTCTCTGGAGCAGCGTCTAGGCGCTCTGATGGAGTGTGCCTGACTTAGCAGCCAGTAAGGGGACCAGGATTAGGCATCCGCTCCTCTTAGAGGTCTCGGCTGCAGGCTGGCCTGTAGACGGCTTGTTTCTGGCCTGTGGGGTTCCTGAACTTTTCGATGTTATTGGTCTCTGTACGGCTATTAGCCCCTAGGGCACCCTGAACTCAGCGGCAGGGGCTGGAAGAGGAGGGTTTGATGTTTGTTTGTTTTGTTTTTGTTTTTGAAATCCAAACACTTGGTTTCAGCAGCTTGGTTCAGGGATGCTTTGAGTCCTTGGAAGGGGAGACTAAGCTGTCTGGCCTCTGGAGGGAAGCCCCTCCCTGATGGAGTCAGAAACCTGAGACAAGGTCCAGGTGGGATCTTTAGGGAACAGGTGCATGGGAGGCAGTGAAGGCTCCAACACTGCTAGCATCACATTCCCATGTCAGGGAAGACTGGCAGTTCCACATCCCAAACCCTAAAATGATTTTTGGGTCCTAGGCTTGTTCTCTGAGTGATGGGTTGGGGGTATGGGGTAAAGATGTATGTGAGTCTGGCTCTGCCCTGCAGGAGTCCAGGGACATGGCTCATTACAACACAAGAGGACCACAATAGGCTGTGAGGGAGGTACACAGGCTGTCAAGGGAGTATGGGTCTGGGGGATTCACTTCTACCAGGAGAATCTGATGTCAGCATCCATATGTATGTCTCGCTGGCTGAACAGTTCACATAACACTGGGGTTTGCTTTTCTTCTCCACTGGCCAACCTAGATGCTTTTGAAACCTGATGAGGAAAAGCATTTAGGGGTCTGGGCTTGCCAGCAGCTTGTTGAAAGAAGGATTTTGTCCTATAGGATCCCTGTTCTGTTATCAGAGACTCATGACACCAACAGGTTAATATCCTGATGGGACAGTGGGGATCCAGGGTAAATGTTCCCATTTTATTTTTTTAATGTTTATTTATTTATTTAGAGAGAGAGAGCACTCATGTGTGTACAAGCAGGGGAAGGGGAGAGAGAGAGAGAGAGAGAGAGAGAGAGAGAGAGAAAGAGAGAGAGAGAGAGAGAGAAAGAGAGAGAGAGAATCCCAAGCAGGTGTGACTCACTGACAGCGTGGAGCCCATCACGGAGCTCAAACTCATGAACCGCGAGATCATGACCTGAGCCAAAATCAGGAGTCGGATGCTTAACTGACGAGCCACCTAAGTGCCCCAATGTTCCCGTTTTATAGGTGAAGAAATCGAGGACCACAGTGGAGGTCAGCAGCAAAATCACAGCCAGAACTAGTCTGAAGTCCCATTTCATTCCCTTAAAAAATGCAGAGCATGTTGTCTGGACGAGCAGGTTGAGGTAAAGTTTAAAAATATGGAAATAAAATGTTACATAATATTTAAGCACATGGAGATTATGTAAAAGGTAAAGCTATGGAAATAAAACGTTATATAACATCTAAGTTGCATTAATTCTACCCTCCCCATCTCAAGAGAAGAGGATGACTCTCCTTCTTCGACTTGCCTTTCAGAAACTGGCAAAATGAGTCTAGAAAGGGAAGGGGCCCAGTGGAGAGAATCAGAAGGGAGATTTGGTGTGAAAGCAGAACCAAAGAGAGATGAATCATGCAGATTGTGTGCCCGGCACCAGCCTGGGGCATAGCAGATGCTCCATAAATGTTCATCCCTTTCCTTCACAGACGGACCAAGCTGCTCCTGAAGCTGGCGTGGCCTGGGCACGGTCATGGTGGAGTAATGGCCAACTAGGGCGTTGCTCAGATATCCATAGATAGTGACACGTTTGACTTTGGATTGGGGCTCTCTCCAAAGCTTTTAGCTTTATGATTTATTTGCATGATTATAATTATATAAACCAGATTGGGGGAAAAAAATCAAGGAGACACACGGGTTTGCTTCCTTCAGCGTTCTCTTACTGCACATCAAGTATCATGAAGAGCTGGTTCCCTGTTCCTCACCCTCATTTCCCACTGCGGCCGTGTAGTGAAGACACAGGATTAGAGATTTGGGTGGAGGGGATGCGAGAAGGGAAATAACATTTCTGGAGTTTCTGCTATTAACTAGGAACTGTGTTTAGCACATGTGTATGTGACTTGTTCTGTTTTTACAACAGACAAATAGTTCTCTTTATAAATGAGGAAACTGAGGCTTGAGGATTATGAATCATCCGGCGTTACTTAACTAAAATACAATGAAACTGAGACTTAAACTCAAAATTTATGTTCGGACCTGGGAAATCCTAGTTCTCTGACTCATGGGGCTTATGCGGAATGCATCGTCTTAGCACAAGATAAGAGGAGATACCTTTGCTTCATACAAAACAATAGTGATACCTAACCTTTGTGTCCTGTCATGATCTTCAAAACACTTGGGGTGAATTTTCCATTTTCTAGCTAAGAGTACAGAGCCTCAACATTTAATTCAAAGTCACAGAGCCAGGAAATCACAAACTGGGACTCAAACCCAGATGGACGTTCGATTCCAGTACTCACAGTGTCCGGCCACACACGCCAAGGAAGGACTATGATTGAGTTTAGGAGTTAGGAGTTTAGGAGTTTAGGAGTTTAGGATGCTCTGTGCATTTGGTGGCTCGATGGGTTTTCTGATATTCATCCGTCCCTGGTGCTCATTGTGGAGTTGGACTTCCTGACTGGTTAGCAGAATCACTTGACGATATGTGATCACTGACTGGTTAAATCAAAATACACTTGGACCTTGGAGTTATGTAAGGCTTTTGATTGCAACCTTTTGTTGGGTGCCCAGAGTCAGACCCAGGAAAAGAGACACTTTCTGTAAGCCCCTCAACTTCTGGGTTTTCATGTCGAAAGATGACAGAGTTGATGGCCATGAGGACTTCTGGTTACAGGAAAGAAAACTGTCCTCTCCTCAATGACTGGCTATTGTGCATTCCTGGTATGGCATGGGAAAGAGTCAAAACAACAACTCTTTTGACACACCCTTGGCTGACTTCTTTCTATGAGAGTATGTATAGTTCTTCGCGTCACATTTGTACTCTACAAAAGCACTGGTTGAAACTCTTCCTGGAGCAGAGGGAAAAGCGAGGACTCGAAGGCTGCTATTGAGGGGCCCCTTCAGTCTCTAAATCTGTCACCTCTTTCATCAGCCTCACTGGGTGGCAAGCCTGCACAGGCCCAGTGGCAGTTGCCCTCCCTTGGGTTGGTCCAGAGCAGGGAACAGCATTCTGCAGAAGGTCTCTTTTCAGATTGAGAAACCCACATCCTGATCTCCTCTTTTGATGATTTCACAAAAATCGAATTGCATGACAGATGCCCAGATAAACAGGAGAAGTTTGCAGTCGAAGCAAGTTTTGGGATGGAGCTGATTAGTAGATTTTTAATGGCTATTAGCTTGATAATAGTAACCAGGCGTAGCTTCCAGGCCACAGACCAAACCTGTGCATCAGTCTGCCCACGCCCATGCACATCAATACCTCATTGGCAGGTATAAAAGGGGGCCCTGACAGTCTCCCAGTAGCAGAGCGGAGTCTCCAGCCTTAACTCGTCTGGGAACCTTCACTTTCCCTCACTGGGCTAAGGCATCATGAGTTGTCAGATCTCGTGCAAATCTCGAAGAGGAGGAGGAGGTGGAGGAAGATTCCGGGGCTTCAGCAGTGGCTCAGCCGTGGTCTCCGGTGGGAGCCGGAGATCGGCCACTAGCTTCTCCTGCTTGAGCCGCCATGGCGGTGGCGGAGGGGGCTTCGGTGGAGGCGGCTTTGGCAGTCGGAGCCTTGTTGGTCTTGGAGGCACCAAGAGCATCTCCATTAGTGTGGCTGGAGGAGGTGGAAGCTTCGGCTCCGGTGGTGGATTTGGTGGCAGAGGAGGTGGCTTTGGAGGCGGCAGCGGCTTTGGAGGCGGCGGTGGCTTTGGTGGCGGCAGTGGCTTTGGTGGAGGCAGCGGCTTTGGAGGCGGCGGTTTCGGTGGAGGCGGCTTCGGCGGCGGCCGCTTTGGAGGTGGCGGTGGCTTTGGAGGTTTTGGGGGTCCTGGTGGCATGGGGCCTGGAGGATTCCCTGGTGGAGGCATCCACGAAGTCTCTGTCAACCAGAGCCTCCTGCAGCCTCTCAACGTGAAAGTTGACCCAGAGATCCAGAATGTGAAGTCTCGGGAGCGGGAGCAGATCAAAACTCTCAACAACAAATTTGCCTCTTTCATTGACAAGGTGAGTCATGAGAAGCTGGCTCTCTCTTGATGCTCAGGATGCCCTACTTCCACTTCTACCTGACGAGCCAACGGCACAGATTCATTTCTTCCAGGAGCCATTGGTGTAGTCAAATAGCCTGGTGTATTTCCCAAATGGGCAACGTGCGGGCTTCATGGGCCACATCTTCTGAGACAGTCTGCAGTTAGGAATTATTTGCATCCTTGGCTTTATGGCTTCAGCCCAAATAAGTAATATTTATGGAAAATTCTGAAAATCGTGGAAACACTGATAGAGGCCAGTAAAATGGACTGAGAAGTTCAGGCCACGTGCCAGCCGATTTTGGAAGGAATTGGTAAGACGTCTTCTGAGACAGTCTTTCCTTCCCGAAAAGCTATTAGTCCATTATGTTCTGGGAAGCTGCACCCGAAACATCTGTTTGGGGATGAAAGAGATTCCTGCCTTTAAGAGAAGCATTCTCAGTTTTGTGACCCAGAAAGTCTTTATTGGTGTCACTTTTGAGCATTACAGGGTTTTGCCCTATTTCAAGGCAGATGAACTTGCCTAAGAAATTTATGAGGCTTGTAAAAATCAGACCGAGGAGCCCTGCCCTCCGGTGCTCTCACACTCAGCACCTTTAGGATCAGTGCCAGGGGATGCCTATTTTTGGTTTGCCCAGGACCTTATGGGACTTTTGCCGGAAATTCAACTAGGATGGGAGAGAGAAATGGCCTGGAGTCTTGGGAGCAGCCACAAACAAAACAGTGGGCGGTGAAGTAGGAAAAAGAGTTCTCTGCGTGGAAAGTGCCAGCTATAACATTAGGAGTCTGTAGAACCTTCCAAGTGTGGAGGCAGGGAGCTCAAGCCGGATCCAGCATCCGGCTAGTGAGCACAAAGCTGTGGAAACTTCTCTAAGTCCCGAAGCAGGATCAGAACGGACTCCGGCAAGTGTGGCCCGCTGGGGGGAAGGGTGATCCGGAGCTCATGTGCTCTCCTTCTGGTCACCCTGTAGGTGCGGTTCCTGGAGCAGCAGAACCAGGTACTGCAGACCAAATGGGAGCTGCTACAGCAAATGGACGTCAGCACCCGCACCACCAACCTGGAGCCCATCTTTCAAATGTACATTGCCAAACTGAAGAAATATGTGGATACGCTCTCTGCAGAGAGAACATCACAAGATTCAGAGCTGAACAACATGCAGGATCTTGTTGAGGATTTTAAGAAGAAGTAGGTGGCAAACTCCGAATGGAGATCAATATTGATCATAGCTGTCCAGTCATCCCCCAGGAGGCCACGCCTCTCCCCACTGCATCGGTGGGGTCGATTCGTGTGTCGATCATTTGTGAGGAAGACATGTAGGGCTTTAGAGATCGTGACTTTTCCCCCATGTTTGCAAGTTAATTTGTAGAAGAGCACCCTTATTTGGGACATCATAGTTACAATTTAGATCGTTAAAAGAGTGTTTAATATTCTCAGAGAATGGAGAATTCAGGGTGGGTCCAGTCGGAAAAGAGAAAGAGAAAAGTAAACAAGCTGGAACTAATCTAACAGCCGTGTCCCCGGGTCCCCACAGGTACGAGGATGAAATCAACAAGCGCACAGCTGCTGAGAATGATTTTGTGACACTTAAAAAGGTGAGCCAGAGCATGTCATGGCTGGGTGGGAATGAGGGGGCTTCGGAAGCCCGCTGGGTCCAAGCAGACAGGCTGGAGAACAAATGAGCTCCCGTGGAGACAAGACTCATCTGAGGTGCCTGGGATGTGGGAGAGCAGTTAGCAGGGACTGGGTAGAAGAGAGGGTCAGAGAGAGGGCGTGGGGCCCGCACACTGAGCAGTGCATGAGTTTCACCAGAGGCCCCTCACATTTTCTGCAGGACGTGGACAATGTCTACATGACCAAGGTGGAGCTGCAGGCCAAGACAGATGTGCTGAATCAGGAGCTCGAGTTCATGAAATTCCTTTTTGATGCGGTAAGGAGGCTGCTCCTGGAGACACCCTGGCTTCCCACCCTTCCCACCAAGGAAGCCCTTCCCAATTTGTGAAAATGTGGGATGAGTGGGGTCTGTGGACTGGCTGACTTCAACCTGCCATCACTGCAAGCCACTAAGGGGGTTTCGGTGACGTAGGTCTTGGAAGAGAGGAGCTTTCTCCTCTGATGTCACAAGAAGTAAGGCTCAGGAAACAGAGGACAACTTCCCTCACTCCATTCCTCAAGTGTCCAGCTCCCCTTAGGAAGAGATCTATCCTGTCCCCATCCCTACGTCTAATGTACTTCAGAGATCAAAATGCAGCAGACCTTCCCTCCCTGCCCAGGCGCACACATATCTTCTGAAACAGGAAGTAAAATGTAAGACATTTATCATCCACAGGCTTCCTTCTGGGGGCATCAAACTTATCAACATTGCGTAAGTGATCAAAGCTATAAACTAGGAGGCTCACAAATGCCGACTCCCATAATTCTCTGGTCACCCTCGGCAGAAGCTTGGGATTGGTGTTTATGTTTGCTTTAATCTCACCCAGTGTATCCCACCCAGCTTAGTCTGAGAACCCATATGTCCTCAACACCGGGGAGGGGAATGTCTCCTCACCGCCTTTGGCTGTGGGCAGGGAAGCCATGGCCAGACCTCCCCGTGTGTTGCAGGAGCTGTCCCAGATGCAGCAGAGTATCACCGACACCAGCGTTGTCCTGTCCATGGACAACAACCGCAGCCTGGACCTGGACAGCATCATCTCCGAGGTCCGTGCCCAGTATGAGGAGATCGCCCAGAAGAGCAAGGCAGAGGCCGAGGCCCTGTACCACAGCAAGGCAAGTGCAAGGACAGCACAGAGAGCCTCAGCTCTGTCTAACAAGCTGGGCTTCACCCCGGCCGGAACGTGTCCCGTGAGATTACTGGTGCTTTTGTCTAATGGAAGTTGGGCATCATTCCCAAGCAAGTGTCCATAGTGCCTCAACTGCCCTCAACTGACAATGGCACCAAGTCCTTGAGGGGACGTGAGACGGTCCCCCACCTCCCACAAATGCAGCTTGGTTGACCCAGCCTGCATCAGACTTACCTTGGCTTGGGCCAAGCTTCCTCCACGCTGCCACTGCCCTCTTCCCGTACAGTACGAGGAGCTCCAGATTACTGCAGGGAAACACGGAGACAGCCTGAAGGAGGTCAAGATGGAGATCAGTGAGCTGAACCGCATGATCCAGAGGCTGCAAGGGGAGATCGCCCATGTGAAGAAGCAGGTGGGCGTGACCCCCAAGGCTGTGCGCCTCTGGGGGTCAAGTGAGGTTCGGGTGGGTGGGAGGTTGTGTACGGGTGAGTGTGTGCGACTGCGTGTGTGTGAGAGAGAGGAGAAACTGAGGAATTCGGATCTAGCATATGTCGATCCCAACCACCTTGAGTGTAACAAAATTTAAGGCTTATCACAATTTTTACGGTGGTATAAGAGACATTCCAAAGTGAGGATTAGTGCAGGGAAAGAATTGTGCTACCTTTTGGATTGCTTCCATGAGCGGAAGGGAGTGATAATAAATAAGGCAAGAAGTCATCTGGCCGGTGGCAGGGGGGTGGGGGTGGCAGACAGAGCCTGCCCTCCATGCTTGGCACTGTCCTGAAACACCAGTGGCGGTGCGGTGGTGGGGCAGCAGCCGTGGCAGGGAGCTGGCCGGGGGGTGGATGGTGGCTTGGGAGAGATAACGTGGGGCAGAGAATGGACTCCAGAGGCAGCAGGGGTTCTGTGAAGTTGTCCACATGGGATGTTTTCATTTGCGACTATAGACTGGGACAGTGCCTCTGGCCCTGTGCTGTGAAGTAAGGGTCATTATGGGCAACGCATCAGGGTCCAGTCAGAGGCAGCTGGAAGGCGATGCCCCAGAGATGGCAGCAAGTCTCAGCATCCTTGTTTGCGACTTGCGTCAGCTCCAGGGGGACCCAACACTTCCGGGGCCAGTGAGTCTGGCTTCTCACGCCCTAAACACATCTGCTCCCCTCCCCCTCTGCCAGGCAGACTCAGCTCTCCAGACTAACAGAAACCTTTTCTCCTTCTCTCCCAGTGTAAGAGTGTGCAAGAAGCCATTGCGGATGCGGAGCAGAAAGGAGAGCATGCCCTCAAAGATGCTCAGGGCAAGCTCTCTGACCTTGAGGATGCCCTGCAGCAGGCCAAGGAGGACCTGGCCCGGCTGCTGAAGGATTACCAGGAGCTGATGAACGTGAAGCTGGCCCTGGACGTGGAGATCGCCACCTACCGCAAGCTGCTGGAGGGCGAGGAGTGCAGGTGGGGACACTTGGGAAGCAGGAGGGTCACGTGGTCCACCCTCCCCTCTCTCCTGGAACCGGGGCTGGAGGCAAAGGCAGGGAAAGCAGGGGTGGGCCAGGACCTCTGACAGGTGAGAGCTGATGTCACCACATTCCCCAAGCAGCCATTCAGGACCCAAAGCATTAACGTACAGTTGTAGATTTATCAATATGGCATGACTAACAAGTCAGATTAAATTACACCCAGTTAAGTGAAATTAAATCAAAGTAGATTAAGCAGTACATTAATCTTGGTCTTTTCTGAAAGAGAAACTAAAATGCTGTGAAATCATGTTGGTCCTAGAGAGTACGAGACATTGGTTTATGGGTCTGCTGGGTGGATGGCCTTGTCTGCCTCCACCTTGCGACCCAGAACAGGGGGATCACGTGTTGGACCATGCTGACTGGCTGACAGCTCCCCTGCAGCAGGTGCCAGACCCGATTCTTTGCAGATTTCTGGAGTGACAGACTGAACCCTTTGCTAACCCGCCAAAGGGAACTTTTCTTCCTCTGTTTGACGATGCTGTCTGAGCCCTCTGTCAGTGTCACCAGCGTCCCCAGTGGTTTTATTTGGCTGAAGCAGCTGGAAGGGGACAAGCTACCCCAGGCCAGCAGCAAGCCAGTATGTGGGGAAGGAGCCGCTTTGCTCAGGGTGTTGCTCTGGACTTGTCTTCGAGGCCATGCCCTTCAAGAAGAAGCGGGACAGATTTCAGACGAAGCAGAGGAGGGCGGGGCAGGAGGGGAGAATAGGGAGGCTGTACAGGGTTACAGTTCTTTCCCAGTTGAATGTTCACAGTGCAGCCTTGTTTCAAAATTTCTAGCGTGGTTGGGATTCTGAATAGCGGACTCCCTCAGATGGATTTAAATACAAACACGGGTTGCAAATCAGAAGGGAATTTGCTTTCTTTAAAAAAATTCTTTTTTAATATTTGTTTATTTTTGAGACACACACACACACACACACAC